CCATCCTTTTTCCCCCTCCCCATCCTTTTTCCCCCTCCCCATCCTTTTCCCCCTCCCCATCCTTTTTCCCCCTCCCCATCCCCTGTGGGTGTTTCTTCCCCCTTGCAGACCCCTGCAAAGCCCTCGGCTGCCGACCGAGGGAGATGTGCAAGACAGAGGATGGCCAAGCCAAGTGTGTCCCCTCCTTGGTGGCCTCATGCTGGGCTTGGGGGGACCCCCACTACCGCACCTTCGACAGGCTGGATTTCGACTTCGAAGGCACCTGCACCTACACCATGGCTGAATTCTGTGGGAACGACCCCAAATTGGTGCCCTTCAAGGTGCAGGGCAAGAATCGGATCAGGGGTGAGGTGAAATCCATCTCCTACATCAGCTTGGCCAACATTGAGGTCTACGGGCATCGCATCTCCATCCATTGGAGGGAAGTGGGCAAAGTCAGGGTGAGTGGGGCCGAAGTGGGCAGGGTTTGGTCGAAAATGGGCAAGGTTTGGGCCAAAGTGGGTAGTTTGATTCAAAACAGGCAGGGTTTGGGTAAAATGAGCAGAGTTTGGCTTAAAATGGGCAGGATTTGGGCTAAAAGTGGCAGAGATTGGACTAAACTGATGAAGATTTGGGCCAAAATGGGCAGGGTTTGGGTCTGAAGTGGCCAAGGTTTGGGCCAAAATGGGCAGATTCTGAGTTGAAAATGGGCAAGGTTGGGTCCAAAATAGTCCGGATTTTGGTCTCAAGTGGTCAAGGATTGGGTCAACATAGACAATATTTCGTCCAAAGTAAACCAGGTTTGGGTCCAAAATAGTCCGGATTTTGGTCTTCAGTGGTCAAGGATTGGGTCAACATAGACAATATTTGGTCCAAAATAGACAAGGTTTAGGTCCAAAATAGTCCGGATTTTGGTCTTAAGTGGTCAAGGATTGGGTCAACATAGACAATATTTGGTCCCAAATAGACAAGGTTTGGGTCCAAAATAGTCCGGATTTTGGTCTTCAGTGGTCAAGGATTGGGTCAACATAGACAATATTTGGTCCAAAATAAACAAGGTTGGGTCCAAAATAGTCCGGATTTTGGTCTTAAGTGGTCAAGGATTGGGTCAACATAGACAATATTTCGTCCAAAATAAACAAGGTTTGTGTCCAAGATGGCCAGGATTTGAGCCTAACGTGGTCAAGTTCTGGGCCAAAACAATCAGATTTCCGCCAAAACCAAGCAGACTTTGTATCAAAATAGACAAGATTCGGGCCAAAACGGGGCCAAATTTCTGCACAGAGCTGCAGAAACCAATGCACGGCGCGAGAGCAAAACAATTGCATGCCAACTGCTGAGCATCTGCATGCAAAGCAGCCGCAACTGACGCTCACTTGCTGCTCCCACCCAGGTGGACGGCGTGCTCACCCTTCTCCCAGTCACCCTGCAGGACGACAGGGTGCTGATCTTCCAGAGTGGGATGACAGCAGTGCTTCAGACAGATTTTGGCCTCCGGGTGACGTACGATTGGAACTGGCACCTGATAGTTGACCTCCCCAGCAGCTACTCTGAGCAAACCTGCGGCCTCTGTGGCAATTTCAACCTGGAGCCGGGGGATGACATCCCCATGCAAGCTGGTAACCTCACCTCTTCCATCATCTCGTGGGCCTCCAACTGGAAAGTCCCCGATGAGGATCCGTTCTGTTGGGATTTTTGCAACGGGGAATGCCCCGTGTGCGAGGAGGAGAAGCAAGAGCTGTACTCAGGCAACCAGCACTGTGGGTTGATCAAAAAGAGCTTCCAGGGACCCTTCAAAGCTTGCCACGACGTCGTCAACCCTCGAGATTTCTTCCGGAATTGCCTTTATGATGTTTGCATGAGCGACGGAGCGAAGAAAATCCTCTGCAAGACGTTGGAGACGTATGCGTCCACCTGCAGGAAGCACGGGGCTGTGGTGCACAACTGGAGGACGCCGTCGGGGTGCTGTGAGCGATGGGGTTTTGCTGCTTCTGCTGTGGGGTTTTGCTGCTTTTGCTGTGGGGTTTTGCAAAACTGGGGTGGTTCTGGGAGCAGGGGCGATGCGTGCAAAGCTCTCAGCGGGACGAACAGCTCCGGGTGCGTGCAAAAAAATGCTCCGTGCTTTTGCATGAGGGTGTGCAGCTCAGGGGTGTTGCTTGCAAAATGCTCCGTGTGTTTTGCATGGGGGTTGTTATCCGTGCACGGGTCGTTGCATGCAAAGCACTCTGTGTGTGTTTGCACGGCGCATTTGCGTGGTGTGAAATCGGTTTTCAGGGTGCAAAGGGCTGCGTGGGTTTGCATGGCACAATATCCATCCCTAAGGTGCTGCAAGCAAAGTGCTGTGTGCATTTGCAATGTCCCCGGGGCAGATATTGCAATGTGAAAATGCACTGAGCATTTTGCACTCAGCAACCATCCTTGGTCTGTTGCATGCAAAATAAATTGCATGGTGCAATGCCTCGAGGACAGATATTGCACTGAGCAATTTGCACCCAGCATGCATTCTTGGTCTGCTGCATGCAAAATAATTTGCACAGTGCAATGCCTCAAGGGCAGATATTGCATCGTGCTGCAACCACACTGAGCATTTTTGCAACCAGCATCCATCCTTGGTCTGTTGCATGCAAAATAAATTGCACAGTGCAATGCCTCGAGGACAGATCTTGCACCGTGCTGCAACCACACTGAGCATTTTTGCACCCAGCATCCACTCTTGGAGAGTTGCATGCAAAATAATGCAGTTGCACGGTGCAATGCCTCGAGGACAGATATTGCATCGTGCTGCAACCACACTGAGCATTTTGCACCCAGCATCCATCCTTGGGCTGTTGCATGCAAAATAATGCAGTTGCACGGTGCAATGCCTCGAGGACAGATATTGCACTGAGCATTTTGCACCCAGCATGCATTCTTGGGCTGCTGCATGCAAAATAAATTGCATGGTGCAATGCCTCGAGGACAGATCTTGCACCGTGCTGCAACCACACTGAGCATTTTTGCACCCAGCATCCACTCTTGGAGAGTTGCATGCAAAATAATGCAGCTGCACGGTGCAATGCCTGGAGGACAGATATTGCACTGAGCATTTTGCACCCAGCATCCATCTTTGGGCTGTTGCATGCAAAATAAATTGCATGGTGCAATGCCTCAAGGGCAGATATTGCATCGTGCTGCAACCACACTGAGCATTTTTGCACCCAGCATCCATCCTTGGGCTGTTGCATGCAAAATAATGCAGTTGCACGGTGCAATGCCTCAAAGACAGATATTGCACTGAGCATTTTGCACCCAGCATGCATTCTTGGTCTGCTGCATGCAAAATAATTTGCACCGTGCAATGCCTCAAGGGCAGATATTGCACCGTGCTGCAACCACACTGAGCATTT